CACTTCGAGCTTGGCTTTATGGAGTCCGTCGCCGAATAGTACCGGGAGGGTAATGACCCCCTCAGAATCAATGGTGTCTCCGGTGAAGCCGACGAGAGGGGTCTTGATGGGTCGGAGGGACCCCCTCTCCAGATGCAGCTCTCTGAATGTGCTAAGGTACATTACATTGACGGAGCTGCCCGTGTCAATGTAAGTTCGGTGGATGATGGTGTCATTGATCTCCGTACGGATGATGAGGACATCCCTGTGCGAAGAGGAAGCCGGGGGGAGATCGGCGTTGGTGAAGGTGATGGGTTCCTCCCTTAGCCGCTTTACCGGGGGCATATGAGTGACTTCCCCCACGTATAGCGATTGAGCCCACTTCTTCCGCTGGCTGGAGGAGTCCCCTCCTGTGTTGCCTCTAGTGATCATATGGATGTGATGCTTTTTCTCCTGGTACTGGATGTACTCCTCCTCCTCATCAAGGTTTCCAATCTCCCTTTTCTTACCCTTCGGGTCGCCGAGGGGGATGGTGTTTGGGTTGACCCAAGCGTTTGCTTTCTTAGGGGGGGCCCTGGTAGTGAGGGGTCCCCTGAGGCGGAGGGCCCCTGATGAATTGGGACAGGTGGCCTGCCTGTATCAATCTTTCAATGCCCGTCTTCAGCTGATGGCAGTCGTCAGTGCTGTGTCCTTGGTTGCGGTGGAATCGACAATAAGGATAATTGGGGTTGATGGCGTATACCTCTTCAGTGAAGTCTAGGATGACACTGACGAGGCGCGTCAAGGGAGTCCAAGGGTGCTCCAAAAGAATAGGCTGGGTCCAAGCCTTCGGGATTCCCTTGTAACCTCCCCCGGACTTGGCTTGGCCATGCCGGGGGCGATCACTGGGGGGTGCCGAAACCTTGGATTGATTATGGGGAGCCCCCGGCCCCCGGTTACCCTTGTCATCTGGCCGAGGGCATTGCTGATCGAGGTTGTGATGGCACTTTTCCACCTCCTCGGCCTTGGCGTACCGGTCCCCCCGCTGCAGGGCCCTTATGTAATCGCGGGGAGGCTCGATGATGAGGCTCCATGAAAAGTTCCCGGGGCGAAAGACTGTCTGAAGGAGGGCCATGAGGGTCTCATCGTCAGCGCCGTCAACTTTGTCCGCCTCCGTCCTCCAGCGCTCCAAGAAGTCCCGAAGGGTCTCCTCCTTCCTTTGTCTTACTGTTAGTAAGTGGGAGAAGTGCTTCCTTGACCGGCGCCTCCCTGCAAACTGCGTCGAGAAGCGTTGGGCGAGTTCTTGCCATGAATCAATGCAGCCTTCGGGCAATCGGTTGAACCACTCGTACGCTGGTCCCTCTAAGGTGGAAAGGAACCAACGGCACAAATATCCGTCTGATGCCCCCACCATCATCATGTTGTTTTGGTAGCGGTTGTAATGTTCCTGAGGGTCCGTCTTTCCTTCATAGGGCTTGATGGGCTGCCCCCGGTATTTTTCCAGAATTCATGCCGCCAATACCCTTGGGGTAAATGCCGTCCTAGTCCGGAGTTGGATGACGGGTTCCCCGAAGCCTTCGGCTATTTTCTTCTGCATTTCTTCCATTTTGGCCAGCATGGCCTCATATTTCGGATCTTCATGAGGGGTGGCGACGGCGGTATGCGCTCGATGAGCCTCCATCTCATTAAGCCGGTGCTGGAGGGCCGCAATGATTTCGTCCCTGGGATCCTTCGGGAGGGCCTCCGCCCCCTGTGAATGAACACGGGCTGAGTGGGCCTGATTGATTTGGTGCCTTGCGTCATCGGCATGAAGTGGTGCCTTGCCTTTGTCCTGATGGTGACGCCTCTCGTCTGCTCTTGAGACGGATCCCCCGCTCTCTTGGGGTCTTTGGGACGCCTTTCCACCGAGGCGGTCTTGGACCCCTCGGCGGTCTTGCGCTCCTCCGAGCCTCTCGAGGGCTGAGGGCTGAGGCCTTTCTTTGTTCACACCGCGTTGGTCCCGGGATTGGACCTCCTGGGAAGCGGTGTCTTGAGCCACGTCCCCTTCGTCGTTTCCCACCCGAGGGGTAGGGTTCACGAAGGGGGGTGGCCGTGGGAGAAGAACAGCGTTCTCCCCGATTTGCGTTTGAAGGTGTACCAGAGTGCCGAAGGCACCTGGGTTTTGAGTGAGTGTCTGGATGAAGACAGAGAATGCTGACTGTACGTTGATAGTGAGAACCGGAGGACTCACTTGATTTTCGCTCTGGTCCCTCCTTCAGGTTTCGATGCCAAAGCGGGCATCTGGAGCATTTTGCTGGAGCTGAAGGCGCAGGTCAACAGCAGCCTGTTCCAACTCAGTGATGACCCCGCCCTCGGGAGCCTTGTTAGAGGCTCCGGGGGCGTTTACTTCACCGAGGGCCAGGTTGTTGTCCTCAAGGTTCTTGGACTGAGCATGGGTGGTTCTTCCCATTTTAATAGGTGTTTTTAGTTGAAGGGGAAGTTTTCTTACTTGATTGTTCGACCTCTCAACGAGAGCGAAAATAAGAGAGAGAGTATATATTGCTGAGAATGTATTGAGCGTATTAAGCCTCTCTTACAAATGGGGAAAAGGGGTGTTATTTATAGTAGTAATAAATGCTAGATAGGGACACGTGTCATCATTCTGGTGGTCGAGGGGTCACCTCAACGGGGTGGCACTGGCACTCACATGTGGCCTCATTAAATGCGGTGGTTGGATGTGACGTTTGTACTCGGTACGTTGATCCGCCGCATGTGGGTGGAAGATTCTGTCGAGAAGATGCCTTCGGCCGTAGATGATTGGCCGAAGGCTCTTCATACCGGGGGGCCTCTAGGTGCCGAGAGCTACTGTTTTTTGCCGCTTTCTTCCAGACACTTTGAGGGCTTTAAAGAAGCTGCACTGTAAGTTTATGAGCCTTCGGTCCCCTGGCCGAAGGCACCCCAGTGTTCGTCGTGGGCTGCTTGGCACTTGGGGCACCGTGATTTGGGTCTGCTGTGCTTCCTGGGCCTCTGCTATAGTAGTGGGAGTCTATGAGCCGGGGATTCCTGGGCCATATACTCCATCAATTGTTGTTATTATTAGTACTATTATTACTATTATTATTTACCAGGCTACTACGCTAATCCAATAGTCCAGTCTAGTCCAGAACCCGAGAAGTACCTAACCCATGCTAGAGTGCTATTACTGTTATTATATTATATTGGCCCAGAAGAAAACCCAGCCCGCATGAATAATACGGCGTACCATGGAAAAGAAAAAAGTTATTGACGTATATAGGACTAAAATATGGTAGTTGTGCAAGAATAGGACCTTATATATTTTTATTTCTCAAATAGGACCTTTTTAATTTTATTCCCGTCTTACCCCAGTTGCTGGCACGCACATGTCCCCACAACTTTTCCTCTTCCTCTCTCCTCTCCACTTTCTTTCTCTATTCTCCTTGCTTCATCTTCTTTTCACGCACCAATTTTTTCTCCGCCCCTCCCCTCCGTTCTTCATCTTCTCCTTGTCACTGCAACTCATCCTCTACCACATATCATCCCCTCAAATAACTCCATATTTCCAATAGATCTAATAAATTCACCCATCTCCGACGGATTACAAAGTTTTGGACGGCAATTTCATCTTCTCAACTCCGACCACCGGTGGGTGGCGGCGATTTTGCAGGTACATTTTGATTCCCCCTCCTTCTTCGGCCTCTTCTTCTTCTCCTTTTCCTCCTCCCCTTTTCCCTTTTATTTATGCTTCAATTTTTTTCTCCCTTTTCCAGATTTGAATCTATCAAATTTTTCTTACTTTGGTCTCAATTTCCCTTTCAATTTTTCTTTTACCTTTTCTTTTAGCATTTTATTTTATCTTTTACAATAAGATTATAATTTTTGACATGAATTTCAATCAAATTTTTGTAACTTTTCAGATTACTTTTATAATTTTGTGGCATTAATAAAAATATTACTCCTTTGTCAACGTAATACTAATAATGACCTAATTTCTATGTGAAAATATTATTTCCAAGCATATTGCCAATTTTATGGCACTAATGTTATAAAGATGACAATATAACTTCTTTGGATATACTGTAGTGCTATGTGTTTTATTCTAAAAATGTCATCTTATTCTGCCAGGATGGCAATAATGTCATTGAGATGGCATTATAACTGCAAGATGACAATAATGTCATTAAAATGACATTACAACTGTGAAATGTTATTTAAATGATAGTCATACCAGATCTGAGTTCAGATCTGAAATCTACATGGTTGGCCTAGTGGAGTCGGTGGAGGCGTCAGAGTTCAAGCAGATGAGGCACACTGATGTTGGATGAGACAGCCATATCGTCGGACGTGGCAGTGATGACGTCGGAGATGGCGGCGGCAGCTGGCGGCTGGCGGCAAGGGTGGATGAGGTCAGAGATTGGGAAGGTTGTGGCGCCCGTGGTGGCGACGACATTAACGCCGGCGGTTCTGGTGGTGGTGGAGGCAGCAATGGCGGCTCCGGTGTTATGGCGGCGGCGGCGGCACCTCCGGCGGTGGTGGCACCAAAGATGTTAGCAGTGTTGTGCCAGAGGACCGTAGTATATAAATTTATTCATTAAGGGTATTGTTGTCAAGTTATTTCTTTAAAGTCCTATGGATTATGGATGTAACGGAAACATTGAAGTCCCATTATTGCACTTTTAGAGTATCTCCAATGCTACAATGTGCACGGTACACATGTGGCATGAGAGATATAGACACACAAAATTAAATTTATGACATTTCTCTCTCTCTTTTTTCACGGTTTTGAGTGTTTTTGGTAAGTTTTTCTCAACAATGTCAACCACAATATCTACATCTAGACATTGTGTTTGACATTGTAGAGAAAAACTTACCAAAACATATAAGATCGTTCAAATAAGGAGAGGGAAATTATATTTATAATTTTTTAATTGACTATCCCTCGTGGCACGTATGCATCATTCACATTTTTGCATTCGAGATATTCTTAATAACTTTTAGTCGTAGGGAATTATGTCAAAAGAAAACAATACAGTACGTATACATACTCCTTGGTCGGCAACTTGATGCCGGCAACGCAGGGGACTTCCGAAGGCAGACAGCTCAGGTACCGGAGAAATTGGCCTTATTTTGCGATGGTGTTGGCGTCCCAGGCGATCGACGGCGGTGGCAGGAGTTTGGTCTGGCGACAGTGCAATGGATATCTTTCTCTGGCGATCCCTTCTTCTCCGGCGTGGAAACGGCCCGACAACCCTGCAGCGACGCACAGGCGTGGTCCTCTTCCTCCGACGCTCTTTCTTAGTTTGTTTGCTTCGTTTGGTAACCCGCACAGGGGTCAAAGGAATCCGTATATATACACGCAGGCATCCGTCTTTTCGTATGTGTTCATACATTAGTACTATGTATTAACTTCAGGAGTCCAAGGGGTTGTAGCTGGGGTATTACTCGTTATTTATGGTTATCGTTATACATGTGTATATTCGTACGTTACAAGATATATGTATGGTAAGAGTTGATGTGCACATGAGGTATACATAATTATTAAATGTACTAATATTTAGTATGCACTAAATATATTAGTATTTTATTTTATTATTACTTCTATTTTAATCAAATAAATTATATCAATTTTTTTATTTTGATCTTTTTTTTGGTATCACATTCTATCCCCCTAAAAGAATGTTTCGTCCTCTAAGCATAACCTAAGACAAAGGATATGAAATGTTTTATGAATACGGAGTATTATAACCCACCCTCTAAAAGAGAGGTTATGTCCTCGTAACCAAGAATTGACCTTAAATGAAAGGTTCCGGGTATTGCCTACGCATATCGTCCTCCAATTCTCATGTGGCATTTTCATATAAGTGGTTTGACCACAAAATTTTGACCATGTGAACGGTCTTCCTCCTAGTTTCACGTGTCTTAGTGTCTAAGATCTTCACGGGTTTCTCTTCGTAAGTAAGAGTCTCATCCACCTCGATCACCTAATAGTGTAAAGTGTTAATTGATAGGTACGTTTATGAATTCGCCTCTTAACTACCCCAAAAGTAAGGGTTTTACCTCGGGATTAATGATATGTGATCCATCGTGGACGTACTTCTTTAGATGGGATACATGGAATACGGCGTCGTGTACCTTGTACGTGTCAAAGCAACGTTAGTTGGTGATTCAACTTTGTAAGAATGTAGAAAAGGATTCAAATTGTGTCTTACCTTGCTCAATTCGGTGGGTAGAGCCAATCTGTAGGCTACCCGTCCCACTTTCTCCAGAACATCGTCATCCACTTTCAAATTGGGAGCGGATGTTGATCGTCATCCACCAACTGAGGTAAATTTGTTGCGGCCGGTGTTTGCTTCCAGATATTGCCCTACAAATCACCAAAAGAAGGAAGAATAATAAAAAAACAAAATAACAGAGGCTTACCTTCTGTCTTTCCAATTCGGTGGGTAGAGCCAATCTGTAGGCTATCCGTCCCACTTTCTCCAGAACATCGTAGGGGCCGATAAATTTTGGGTTTAACTTACCCTTCTTCACGAATCGCATTACACCCTTAGTAGGAGATACTTTGAGTAACACTTTCTCTCCTACCTCAAACTCAACATTTTTTCGCCCCAAGTCTGCATACGATTTTTGACGGTCTTGTGCCGCTTTCATCCTCGCCTAAATGAGTTTGACTTTTTCCATTGTATCTTGCAAGTATTGTGGCCCTATAACGACCTTATCCACCATATCACCCCAACACAGTGGGCTTCTACACTTCTGACCGTAAAGCGCCTCATACGGAGCCATCTTAATGCTTGCGTGATAACTGTTATTGTATGAGAACTTTATAAGGTCTAAGTGCTCGTCCCATGATCCTTGCAAGTCCAGCACGCATGCTCTCAGCATATCTTCAAGCGTCTGGATAGTCCTCTCAGTCTGACCATCCGTAGTTGGGTGAAATGCAGTACTCAGCTTGAGTTTAGTCCCCATAGCGGCTTGTAATTCCTTCCAAAATTGTGATAGGAATCGAGAATCTCGGTCAGATACAATGCCTCGGGGTACAACGTGATATTTGACCACATGCTTGATGTAGGCTCTGGCCAGTTTATCCATACTCTAGGTCTCATTTATGGGAATGAACCTAACAATCTTGGACAGTCTATCCACGATCACCCAAATCTTATCCTTCCCGGACTTCGTTAAGGGTAAACCTCTAACAAAGTCCACCGAGATTGAGTCCCATATCCATGTCGGTACCTCCAAGGATTGAACAAGTCCTTTGGGCTTGCATCTTTCAGCTTTCACCTTTTGACAGTTCAAGCATCTCGACACAAACTCATCCACTCCCTTTTTCATCCTCGGCCACCAAAAGTTTTTCTTCAGATCCTTGTATAGTTTATCTCCTTCCGGGTGTACCGAATAGGGTGTGTTGTGTCCTTCTCCCATGATTTGTCTTTTGATATGCTCGCATTTCATAGGGACACACCACCTCCCCTTATAACGGATACTCCTGTCTTCGTGTAGCTGAAATGGTCCATTGACCCCATCTCTCATTCCCGCTTTGACTCACCCCAATTTGACATCTCCCCGTTGACCGACCTTGATTTCATCAAAGATAGAGGGTAGAATGGTCATAGTGTATAATCGGATCTCACCCTCTACTTCACCATGCTCTTTGACCTCCAAATTCAGCCTCTGAAACTCCCGGTACAACTCTTCTGGTAGTATCCATGATGCTCGGCTCGTGTGCTCTGTCTTCCGGCTCAAAACATCCGCTACGACATTGGCTTTTCCCTCGTGAAGAAGAAGAAGAAGAAGACGAAGAAGAAGACGAAGACGAAGACGAAGAAGAAGAAGAAGAAGAAGAAGAAGAAGAAGAAGAAGAAGAAGAAGAAGAAGAAGAAGAAGAAGAAGAAGAAGAAGAAGAAGAAGAAGAAGAAGAAGAAGAAGAAGAAGAAGAAGAAGAAGAAGGAGAGGAAGAAGAAGGAGAGGAAGAGGAGGAGGAGGAGGAGGAGGAAGAGGAAGAGGAAGAAGAGGAAGAGGAGGAAGAGGAAGAGGAGGAAGAGGAAGAGGAGGAAGAGGAAGAAGAAGAAGAGGAAGAGGAAGAGGAAGAGGAAGAGGAAGGAGAAGGAGAAGAAGAAGAAGAAGAAGAAGAAGAAGGAGAAGGAGGAGGAGGAGGAGGAGGAGGAGGAGGAGGAGGAGAAGGAGAAGGAGAAGGAGAAGGAGAAGGAGAAGGAGAAGGAGAAGGAGAAGGAGAAGGAGAAGGAGAAGGAGAAGGAGAAGGAGAAGAAGGTGGAGAAGAAGGAGGAGGAGGAGAAGAAGAAGAAGAAGAAGAAGAGGAGGAGGAGGAGGAGGAGGAAGAGGAGGAGCCCTTTGATAGATACCCCTTTGTCTGGGCGCCAAATTGAAGCCAACAAATTCTTGAAAGCCTCAAACTTGATTTTCTGATCCGTAAGAACGATTCCCATCACCGGAAACTCAGTCGCCTTCTCCAATGTATCAAAAACCCCATCTTCCACATCATCAAAATTCAAATTGCTGTTTTCTTCCCCAATAGCCATCCTTTTATACTTAAAAAACAACTTCCTCTGTTGCCCTAAGTCGAGCCTCGACGTTGCTGAGCTCTGCCAAAAACTTTCGCTACCTTCGTTAACAAGCAGCACCGATGTTCACTTCCTATTCCTTCATTGTTGCCGACGTCTTCAGCCGAAACCCGCACTGGACCACGTCCTCACCTCACGGCGTTCTTCGTCCACGACAAAAACGGAGAGATCGTAAGCTACTCGAAGGGACCGAGCGGCAACCCTAGAGAGAAGATGTCATTTAGTAGTATAGAGAATTTTATTCAGTGATAATTCTAATGAATATTTCACGCGTTGTTTTTTAATATCTCTTAGATAGTTAATGTATTCAACTTTTTAAAACAATCACTTAATGAATAATAATCTTTTTCTAATTTAAGTGTTTATCTTTCTTTATAAATTTTTAATATGTCTTGACCATAGGTGATATATTATATACTCCATACCACCTCCCTTAATTTGTCTGTATTATAAGTACTATGAATATAAAGGTAAGAATAAGTAGGTAGAGGCTGTGGAATTAAAGAAATTCTAAAATAAGGAAACTAATATACAGTATTATTTTATGCTTTGCTATAAAACATTGTTATAACTTTCTCCCAGATTTAATGGGAATAATATTCGACCACGCATCGTTCCATTCAATTATAGTCAATATTAACAACACAATTTTCCATAACATTGGAAATGGTGATATTTTTACTCAATAAGCCGTCAAGATATATCTTTTTTGTTCCCGAAAACAGTTATGCAATACGTTTATTATTTAAAAAAATCTTAACAATTACCCTATCTAACGTCGATAAAAAATGTTATCCAAAAATAAATACTTCTGATATCTTCATTGTAATGAACTCTTTTACAATGTATCAATATAATTATATAGATTGTTATTGTAATACATTTAATGCCTGATTCAGCTAAAATTAATTTTGTGACTTTTAGTTATTACAAATTCCCATTAAAATGTACAAAAATTCATTTGTACATTTTTTAAATCTAGTAACAATTGAACTCTTTTTTGTTTACTAATGAATTGGCGAAATTACATGAGCACAATCATTTTTACGTTATTTTGTGGTTGTTAATTATCAATTACTACTAATTGTATTTACTGTGTTGTAAATAGTATTTGTAGTTGGATTCGGTACACATAAATACAAGGCAGTCACTACAAAAAAATTCGCCTGTAGTCACGGACAGTAGTCACGGATTTGGTCCGTGACTAGTTAGTCACGGTTCTAATCACGGTTTAGTCACGGAACGGTTAAAAAAAAGTAGTCACGGACAAATCCGTGACTACGTCCGTGACTATAGGTAGTGACGGACCTAGTCCGTGACTAAAGTGTTCCGGCCAACCCATTTTGGCCTCCGGCGGGATTTTTTTTTAAATTTGAAATTAGTCACGGATGGTTCCGTGACTAGTACCGTGACTACAGTTAGTCACGGACACGTCCGTGACGAATTCCGTGACCAGTGAAAAATTGATTTTTCCACGTTCCAAATTTAAAGTGCACCGACAATTCGTACAAAAAATATGTAGTCACGGACACATCCGTGACTAAGTCCGTGACTACCCATCTCATATCATTTTTCCTGTTTATGCTAATAAGGTATGTAATTTGAATTACGTATTTTTTGTAAATTAGTTAAATATGTAAATTTGTTAATAAATACATATGTAAGTATATTATTAAATATAATATTGGCAATACGTACATATGTTATTAATTTTAAAATATAGGGTTAAAATTACGTAAATTAGTTAAATACATATGTAGGTATATATGATTAAATATAATTTAAATGCATATTATTAATATTAGTTAAATGTAAGTATTATTTAATTCAAATGACTTTATATATATATATATATATATATATATATATATATATATATATATATGATTAAATATAAGT